GAAAGAGGCCCAGCGCGAGCAGAGTGATCCTCGGCCATCGCTGCCGATCGTGGCGCTCACTGCGTCCGCCACCACGGTACTGGACTGAGGCCCGGGCCATCGGGCCGTTTGCGTGGTTTCTAATGGGAGGACGATCGATCCGCGCTACACAACAGGAGTATGCGCAGCGGTGCCTCGAGGTGGGCATGTCCGACGTGCTCTTCAAACCGCTCCGGCGCGAAACCCTCGCTGCCGCGCTCGCCAAGTGGAAGCCGTCGTCCTCGGGCCGGGCCTCTTCTTCTTCTTCTTCATCGAACATCGCCGCGCGCGTCGAGCAGTGCTTCCGTCGTCGCTCCAACTCGTCGCCCTCGCAACTCAAGCCGGTTCTAATAGCCGCCACCGGTAGATCTCCCACCCAGCGAGGGTGACCCCTCGGGCACTGTCAATCTCCACCGTACGGCCGGCGACTGTTCGCTCGGTGTGCTCCAGGCCGCGCCGCCTGCACCCTCTGTTGCACGCCTTCGCTTTGCAGCCCTTCTCATCCAGGCAACAGCCTTGGTTCGGAGTCACTGCAGACTCCGCTCACCCGCAGGGTGGACCCTGGGCTAATAACGTCAGTTCTTATTCTCTTGCTTTTTCTGGTTCTTGTTCTTGTTCGAACCTCGGGCGCCCGAGGGGATACGACGTCTCGGGATCCGAACACGAACCATTCCTGCAACTCGCCCCGACCATCAGTTCTTCCGTTCCGCACAGAAGGGTAGTGAGTTGCCTCGCAACGGGCCGGCGAGAGTCCTTGATAAAGGGGTCAGTTAGGCCCTCTTCATCGTTTTGTTCATCACCAACTTCACCATCAACCGACCGCAACAGGAGGCCCACCCTCACCTTCACTCCACCTTCACCTTCACACAGTCCCATAGCAATGGCGTATCCAGCTGCGACCAACAAGAAGAGCACAAGGCCGATCTGCTGCGCTTGCCTCGACGTGTCAATGTCGAAGCAGGCCGTGTGGCAACGACAAGCCGCGATGGTGGACTCCTTCCACTACACCGGCCTCTTCCCGAGCCGCGGCCTCGTCTTCTCCCCACCTGCCACACCACAGCCGCGACAGCCCGCGCACAAGACCACCACCGACCCGCAGTGCTCTCCACTTGCGAAGCTGCGCTGTGCCTGGCGAAAGAGGAGCGCGAGCAGGAAGGACACCCTCCGCTCGCGATGAAGCTGGGGCTAGCTCAAGGAACAAAAAATGTAAGCTATTTCGAATATTTTAAAAAGAACATTTAAGTGAAAAAGAAAATGGGAAAAAAGCTGTGTTGTTTGTTTCGTCAAACAAAGAAAGATGGGCCGAGGAGCGACGGGGTGGGAGGACCGGCGGCGACGGGAAGCAACTCTGGGCGGCAGGCTTGTCTACGGCTACCTGGCCGCCTTCAATGTGGTCATGGCCGCTGGGTGGTGCCTCGTGGCCGCCATGCTGGTCTCCTCCGCTATCTACACGGCCAGTCCCCTCTCTGCCCTCCACCTCGCCTGCACCAACGTGGGTTCCCTCGTCCGTACGCGCCCCCATATCCTATTATGTATTTTTATATGTAATTATTTATTCTTAATTATTATAATAATTATTATTAATTATTATTATAAAATTGTACAGTGAGCCTGCAGCTGTTGGTGTGCATGGAGGTGGTGCACATGGCGCTCGCGTGGGTGCCGCCGTCGACGATGAATCCGCTGCTTCTGCTCCACTGCAAGGTCCTGCGCCGGCTGCACCTTCTCGTCGTGGCCTACTTCGGCGTGCCGCAGGTTTGTAGACCACTCCTTGACATTCGCGCGCGAAGAAATGAACCCCTGACACACACTACACACACCGCACACACCGCACGACACGACACACGTGCCATCGCACACGCAGGTGCATCAGACGGCGGCGCTGGGCTTTGTGTTCGTGCACTGGGCCGTGGTGGACCTCATCCGCTACCCCTTCTACCTGCTCAACATGGTCAGGGCCTGCCCGCCGCTGCTCAAGTGGATGCGCTACTCCGAATTCATCGTGATGTACCCCATCAGCTTCACCTCGGAGAGTACTGCGCCCCCAGCCACTGCGATCGTCATTCATTGCTGACGTCAGCACTTGGTGTGTTTCGCGTCGTGTCGTGTCGTGTCGTGTCGTGTCGTGTGCAGTGTACCTGTGGTGGGTGATGTACCCGTACATCCGCGAGTGGCCGCTCGAGCAGCGCAAGGGAAGTCTCGAGGCTGCGGCCGCGACGCTCTACGGCTGGCTGCTCCTGGCCTACCTGGCCTGGCGCGTCTCCAGTACGTTGTTGAGGACCCGGCCCTCGCCATTCATTGTGCAGTCACGCCCCCTGGGGCTGACCCTAACACTTTGCTCACTCCTCCAGCGTTCCCCTTCAACTACCGCCGAATGCTGCGTCTGAGAGGGCACAAGGACCAGGGAGGACCGAGCCCGGCGGCCGTGGGCGCCACCACCAAGGCCGACTAGGCCGTGTCTTTGTCGGGTGCGCTGCGCAAGACCAGGGGAGACAAGCCAGGCTTGTCAGCCATGACCACAAATCGTGAAATGTTGTTACGCGGGCTGCTGGGCCGAAAACTCGGGGCGCCTGGCAGCGATTGCAGGGGCTGATGGGTGGCAAACGGAGATCTCCGTACCCGGCAAGTGCCGCACAGAGGCCCAGCGCGAGAGCCAAAGCGGCGCATTGCGCGGAGAGGGGAAGGGGGAAGTTGATGGGCCTGCAGCCAGAGCGAGACGAGTGTGGGACAGCTAACAGGAGCCAATGGGCCAACAGCTGGGAATGCTGACCCTGTCAGAAGGTGCCCGTGATGAGCGATGGCCGGTGCCAGGCTAGCCAACGCTTCCGGTCTTTCTAGTCGAACGGCTTCTCTTCAGTTCCTCCTCCACTCCCTGGGTTGTTCCATTCCGCGAAGGTTCCAAGCATCTTGTGCTGGTCATCTCCTCAACAACAAGCTCCGTCAGCTCGCTGGGTACGGGCCTCTCCAC